AATATAGTACTGGAAGTACTTGCAATAGCGATTAGGCAAGAAAAAGATATTAAGGGCATCCAGATAGGGAAAGAAGAAATTAAGCTCTCACTATTCGCAGATGACATGATACTATACTTAGAGAACCCTAAAACCTCTACCAAGAAACTCCTAGAAACAATAGGCTTTTATAGTAAAGTGGCAGGCTATAAAATCAATACCCAAAAATCCATGGCTTTCCTATATGCAAATAGTGAAAGAGAAGAAAGTGACATGAAGAAAACAATTCCAGTCACAATTGTGCCCCAGACAATCAAGTACCTAGGAATCACCTTAACTAAGGAAGTAAAGGATCTGTACAAAGAAAACTACAAAATGCTACTTCGGGAAATAAAAGAGGACATGAGGAAATGGAAAAATATCCCCTGTTCATGGATGGGGAGAATCAACATTGTCAAAATGGCAATACTTCCCAAGGCACTGTACAAATTCAATGCAATCCCTATAAGGATACCCACGACATTCTTCAAAGAAATGGAGCAAACACTCCTGAAATTTATATGGAACAATAAGCCCCCACGAATAGCTAAAGCAATTCTGGGGAAAAAGAAAATGGGAGGAATCAACCTACCTAACTTCAAGCTCTACTACAAAGCAGTAATAATCAAAACAGCATGGTACTGGAACAAAGGCAGAGTTGCAGACCAATGGAACAGAGTTGAATATACTGACATCTCCTCCCAAACATATAATCATCTAATCTTCGATAAGGGGGCAAGAAAAGTGAAATGGAGTAGGGAAAGCCTCTTTAATAAATTGTGCTGGCAAAACTGGACGGCTACATGCAAAAAAGTGGGCTCAGATCACTGCCTAACGCCATGCACAAAAGTAAGATCGAAATGGATTTATGACCTCAACATCAGACCGGAATTCATAATGTTTATTGAAGACAAAGTTGGCAAAACTCTCCACGATATTGAAGTTAGTGGTATCTTCAAAGATGTCACGCCACTGGCCGAGCAAGTGAAAACAGAGATAGACAAATGGGACTATCTTAAACTAAGAAGCTTCTGCACCTCAAAAGAAACAGTGACCAAAATACAAAGACAGCCTACAGAATGGGAAAGGATATTCACCAAATACACATCCGACAAGGGGTTGATATCAAGGATATACAAGGTACTGGTTAAACTACACAAGAAGAAATCACCCAAACCCATCAAAAAATGGGCGAGGAAATGAACAGAAACTTTCTCAAAGAAGAAATTCGAATGGCAAAAAGGCACATGAGAAAATGCTCCACATCACTAATCATCAGAGAGATGCATATCAAAAGAACAATGAGATATTATTTCACACCACAGAGAATGGCCCACATCCACAAGAACAAAAGCAACAGGTGCTGGCGTGGATGTGGCGAGAAAGGGACCCTCCTTCACTGCTGGTGGGAATGCAGGCTGGTCCACCCCTTTTGGAAAACAGTATGGACGATTCTCAAAAAATTAGAATTTGATCTCCCATTTGACCCAGCTATAGCACTCCTGGGAATATATCCCAGAGAGGCAAAAAGGTATAGTCGAAGTGACATCTGCAATTGTTTGTTCATTGCAGCACTCTTTACAATAGCCAGAACCTGGAAAAAACCTGAGTGCCCGAGAACAGATGACTGGTTAAAGAAACTTTGGTACATTTACACAATGGAGTACTATGTAGCTGTTTGAAAAGATGAAGTTATGAAATTTATATACAAGTGGTACTACATGGAAAGTATCATATTAAGCGAAATGAGTCAGAAAGAGCGGGATAGACACAGAAAGATTGCATTCATCTGGGGAACATAAAGCAACAAAACGGGAGACTAACACCCAGGAATGGCTCAGATTAGTACCAGGAATTTTGCTCCATGACTTGAAGGCCAGCCACATGTGCTAGGTGAGAAGGAAGCTCAGATAGAGAAGAGAGCACCAAATAAAGGGTGTTGTGAAGACCCTCCCAGGGTGGGAGAGACATGCTAAAATTAGTCTATAGACCAATCATGATTGCCACTCAATGCCTCTCTGGCAAAACACAGTACCCAAAAGAAGAGAGAGAGAACAAGGGGGAATGCCCTGCCACAGCGGCAGGGTGGGACGGGGGGGGATGGGGGGCGGTAGGGATGCTAGGACCCGTGGTGGGGGAGGATGGGCACTGGTGGAGGGATGGGTACTTGATCATTGTATAACTGAAACCCAAGCACAAAAATTTATAAGTCTATAAATGTACTTCATGGTGTTTCACTAATAAAAAAAATGATAAAATAAATAAATAAATAAATAAATAAGTGTCATAATGTTTACAGTTCATTTACAAATCAGCAGGGGAAAGTCAATATGTATGCATACGTATATGTATGTATATATTTGTTTAGAGAATGTGCACAAATGTCACAAAAAATTTAAATAGATGAATATTAGAAAGTACTTAAGTGTTATACATTTAAATTTTTGGCATTTTTGACACATTTCAAAAAATGGGGATGGATAAAAGTGCATAAAAATTTATCTTAAAACACACTATTCTCTATTTTTTTGCTCTTCTAACAGACTATTAAAGGAATTTTTATTTGCATCATGTCTTGGTAAATTTAATTACAGAAGAAAATAGCAGCTTCTACTAGGATGGGGAAAACAGAACTTGTAAAGTCCTCTAACTGGTGACCTTGACCAGTTCATTTTTTTTAACTTGTGAGGCTTTCTTCATTTGCATAATGGCTGTAATGTCTTGCCTACATATAAGACATTAGGAGAAAATACGTATTATAAACAATGGTAAGGCATCATTCAACCCAAAGTGATTGATTGCTGGATTCCGTTATCTTCTCCTACACAGTTAAAATGATTTCATGAAAGAGAATTTGACTCTTGCATTCATAAGCAGTTCACCCTTTACACCACAAAGACACTGCAGCTCCCATTCAATAATCCAGACACCTGATTTATGTGCACTCTTCAAGTAATCTGTCTCTCCCTAGAAAAAGTACAGTGCTCTGTCTGTCCACTGTGGCTTGAAGGAGGATGGAGAAATTTATTGACTGGACATCAGGGTGGTGTCAGTGGCCTTGACTAGATGGGCATCATAAACTGGACACCTGCTGAATCTTCTATCCTTTGAGGGAAATCTCAAGTTGCTACAGTTCCAAGGTAATGTCCCAGACAGAGAGAGAGAGAGAGAGAGAGAGAGAGAGAGAGAGAGAGAGAGAGAGAGACTGATGGAAAAGAGCTAAAGAGATTTTCTTAAACTACCTGGAGAGCCCGGCAAGCTACCGAGAGTATTCGATATGCCAAACACAGTAACAACAAAGTCTCCAATGGAGACGTTACTGGGCCCGCTCGAGCAAATCGACGATCAACGGGAGGGCCTTTTTACCTGAAGAACAGGAAAGTGGTGTGAAGGTGCAGCATTTATATGCCCCATCATCACAGTGAACCCAGGTGCCAAAGACTGATTTGTCCACCTCCTTCCCTGCTGTTCACCTTCTAGGCTGTGTGTTGTCATTTTTGTGATCTCTGTTTTCCTTTCTAGGTGGCTCTCAGTGTCCATTTGTTGCTTCATTTCAATTCACTAGCAGGCCCAGAAGGCAGTGGAGAAAGCTTGATTCTGTGAATCTTCCTTCATCCTACCTGTACAGTGAACACAATCCCCCCTCCCAGGTCTGGATCGAAGCAGATGGGCCAGTAGCATACCAACACCATTCATTATTTTGACAGTCAGGTTAAGGGCTCATTTTTTTTCTTTTTGTACCTTTCCTCTATTTTTTTAACTTATCAAAAATATATAAATTATCTATTTATGTAGGAGTACTGCTATTTATTCAGCCATTGGTTAAGCTGATTGAATTGGGCATGAACTCCACATTACTTTTTTTAATTCAGAATGTTAATTTTATTTTATTATTTTTGCCCCTTTTTATTGACTTACCATGATATATAGTTACAAAGCTTTCATGTTTGAGCTTCAGTCGTATAATCATCAAACACCCATTGCTTCACCAGTGCATATTTCCCACCACCAAAATCCCCAGTATTTTCCCCCCTCACTCCCTTGTTCCAACTCTTCCCTACCTGTGTGGCAGACAATTTCCCCCATACTCTCTCTACTTTGGTTGCATTCGATATTTTGACACCAGTCCCACCACCACTCAAACCTGCTGAAAAGGCAATGCTAGATGATTTGTTTTTTATTGCTTCCCCGGCAAGCTACCGAGAGTATTCGATATGCCAGACACAGTAACAACAAAGTCTCCAGTGGAGACGTTACTGGGCCCGCTCGAGCAAATCGACGATCAATGGGAGGGCCTTTACCTTTACCTTTACCTTTATGGTAACAAACAAAGACCATCCAGAATGCCTTCCTTCCAAATAATCAACCCTGGTTAGATGCCAGAAGAATCAAGATCTACCTGGAGGAATTTTTCTCTTGGCCCCTTTACCCTTATAGCACAACCTGTTACTTGTCTACTTGCAGTTTGTCTCTAAACTTAATTAGATGACTCCTTACTCAGGTCCAAGAGATCAAAGAACCACTATGAGATTTCTTCATTCTTTTGGAATGCGTTATCCAAATATTTCTAACCATTTCCTGGTCTCACTCTTTCCTGAGTATCAGTTCCCTTTTGAGATGTACACAAACGTACTTCAAATTGGCAGAAACATAGACTCAGCCTACTCCCCTTTTCCCAGAGTCAGCAATTTGAATTAAAGGCATAAGCAGAGATAAGGTTTTGCTAACAACATTAATTGCATTTGAGTATTCAATTTGTTCTTGGAGGATTAAACTTATTCCCAATATAAATTCATTATGGGTGTTTCTCTGCTGCTTATTATGTCCTTATGATCTTTTTTTAAAGCTAAGTTAAAAAGACTGCTTTAGTTCCTTTTTAATCCCTAACTATTAATTTTCTAAAGTAGAGTTTTTAATATGAATTGTGGGTTTGAATAACAACTAGTTTCTGGCAAATTTCTATTGCTTTCACAATTTATAAATTATTTTTCACCTTCACAAAAGTCATAAGTACACATTATATGTCCAGTGAAGCTTGCCAAGTTGGGATTTTCTTTGCTGCATTAAAATAATTCCTCAGCTAGTTCCTGGTCAAGTTCAATACTTCATGTGATGATGTTGTCTAAGGTGACCTATTGAAACCAGAGTTCAGAGAAGAAATCCACAGCTGTGTCTGTTATTACAACAAACCTCAGTGCAGCCCCTGTCGTGTGGGAATAAGTAAGTGATTATAGAAGAATGCCATTCAGAGTTTACTTTTGATGTTTAGTATGCAATCTATTCTGCCAACATTTTAATTAATTTTAGTTGTGAATAATTCTCCTTATTTTCATCTTTTAAATGATTTTCTCTTCCAAATGCAATTAAATAGTAACATTCAGAACAGGCATTTACACTTAATGTCTTTCCAAATTCTCATTTACAATGTGATGTGGCTTAGATTTCAAGACAAACATGACTCTTGGACATGCAAATTAGCACTGGCCTTTGGGCTCAAATTTGAAAAAATTAGGTCAGGAATAAACTAACTGAGCCTGCCAGCAAGTAGCTTTCATAAAGTGATGTGACTACTTGATATTTAATCTTCTGTGCAACTCCTTGATTACTATAATTTCTTTGCATCTCTATTCCCTATTCCATCTGACTCTTATCATATCCAGTGCCTCCTCCCACTCTGACTACATGTAAATTACGTCTCTTCATTGACCTTCCTTTGCTCACAAAAAGTCTGGCTCCCTTGCCTCAGGAACTCAAGTCTCCAAAAGTTGAGAAACAATTTTCTGCCAACTATTATTCTTCCTGCTTGGAATGCTCTCCTGTCTTTCACCACACCCTTTTATCAGATTAACTCCAACTCATTTTTCAACCACTTCCTTCAAAAAGTCTGAATCCATGGAGTAGGGGAAGCAATGAAAGCACACAGGTAGCTCACATTAAATTACCACAGATCCAGAAAAAAAGTCTAGTTTTTGACTGATTCTGATTTTTCATTTATTTGTTTGTTTATTTAGAATCTGGATATAGGTTGTTGATGTCCTAGACCAGAGGTGGGGAACTCTGTCTATAAAAGACCATTTGTATATTTATCATGGACCATACAATACAGACAGTCTGTGGGAAGCCAACAAAAAGCACCTGTGTCCTTCCTGTTATGTACCAAGACTAGACCACATGATTTCATGGGCCTTATATGCTCATATGACCCATGGAACAGAGACTTCCCAACCATGCACTAGACTCTCTCTGAACTAACATTCTATCATACTTTTTGTAACTGCTTATTTGTTTGTCTCTTTTCCTGATAAAACATAAGGTCCATAAAAACAAGAGCAATGTTTGCTCACTGTTTATTTCCCCCAGATCTAGCAATATTCACATTCTATTATAGCTACTCAAAACTTTGTTGAATGAGTGAAATGACTCCACTGAGATGTCATAGAGCCAAGGTCTATAGACTATAATCATTGGACCAGACTGGCCTCTCTGCCATTGAAAATAAAATTTTATTGGAACATAGTCTTCCTAATTCATCCATACACATTCTATGGTTATTTCCACATCACAACGACAATGTGGGAAGTGGCAACATATGACAATCTATGGCCATGGCAACCTGAATGTGTCTAGTCTTATCAGAATTCATATGACTGGCAAAACCTAAAATGTTTACTGCCTGGTCCTGAACAGAAAAACTTTACCAATTCTTGTCATAGAGCGTAGACAAGTCTTTCTAGGTTTATAAAATTCTAATTTTAATCAACATAGGACTAATTATAAAATATTTCTGGGTCTCTAGCTTTATCTTATATGTAGGTTCTGATAACAGAAACTTAGTAAGTCTGATACATTATAAATCACACATTATAAGTCTTGGAATTATTTACAGTGTCCTAAGAATTAGAAACTGATTGATTAGAAAGTTGAAAAATTGTGCATCAAAAATGATTTCTAATTATACATACTTTTGTATATGGAGTATATAGAGAAGACAAAGAAATGTATTAATTGAAACAAAACCAAAAAAGGTGGGGCTGTATGACCAATTGATTCCCAGAAGAATAGGGAAAGAAGGAATATTGGTATGGTGAAGGACAGAATTGGACTTTTAGAGGTAAATAATAAAATATATACACATTGATTTTCAGTTATGAACACCTGAAACATAATGTAATGTTACTTCCATTATAAAAGAAAACCAAAAACTTATTTTGTAGAGTGAAAGGAATTCTAGCATGCTGTTGGCTGGGAATATAAATTAGTGCAATCTCTATGAAAATAGAGATGTTTTAAGTAATATGAAAATTCCTTATGATCTAGCAATAACGCTCCTAGGCAAATATCTGAATAATAAGAAAGTCATTCAAATTTATATTTGTACTGCTATGTTTATAGCCACATTACTCCCAATAGTTAAGGCATGAAATCAATCTAAATGTTCATTGATGGATGACTGGATGAATAAATATACTCAGTGGAATATACTCTTCTATTTAAAGATGAAATCATGCCTTTTGGAAAGAAAATGGGTAGAACTTGTTGTAATTATGCTAAGTTAAATCAGTGAGGAAAAGAAAGAATAAAAATTATTAGATGGTTTCCCTCATATGTGAAATATTAATATTGAACATAAACCTACAAGTAACAACTCTCTCTTAACCTTGATGGAATATGTACAGTTTGCCTGAATACAAGGAGATGGGGCAATGAGGAATGATTGAAGGAATCTTTGGAAAGTGGGTGCTGGGTGTCTTGTGTACACATGGAAGAGTGAAACTAAACACTTCAAATTCCATCATAAGCCAATGACCAGTGGAAAAAACATGAAAGGAAAACACTTTTCATGTTATAGCCAAATATTTATATATCCAGAAACATTTATACCTTTGTTAAAGTCTCAATGACTAAAATAATAATTTAGTCATAAACCTTATCAAGTTTTGTTTGCTCATCTAATGTGTGATAATATTGTCATGGAATAAATTATGCCAACTTCATCTCCAAAGCTGCCTAAAACATTGTGTCAATGACTTAGAAGTTCTTAATAAGAACAAAATATCAAATTACAATTATTGACACCAGAACAGTGCTTTTAATTTAACTCCATTTTCAGGCCTCCTTGGTGATACTGTTACTGTCCAGGAGCTGTATGTATTATGTTTCTGTGAAGCAAGAGCTACAATACTAGACCATAAGCTGAATGGTCAACAAAGGAGAGTCTGGCCCATCCAGACATTCCTTAGCATCAAGTGCAACCATAGCAGTTAACCTGCATGGCCATGGGCTATTCAGAGTCAGATTCTATATTCCAGAGCCAAATAAGCATGAATAACCTTAATAGCAGTGTTAGTCATTTCATACCCAAACACATTGTCCCTTACTACTTGTTATTTGGGATGACATTGAAGAAGCTTTTGTGAGACAGAAATCTGATTTAATATTGATTGCTAACATTCTCCTTCTTTCTGGCGAGACATCTACAGATGTCTTCTCTATTCCATCTGTGAAGCCCTGGATGGAGGATGGTTTAACATTCGGAAATCGATCAACATAATCCATCATATCACCAAAAGAAAAGATAAAAATCATATGATCATATCAATAGACTCAGAGAAAGCTTTTGACAAGATCCAGCACCCATTTATGATGAAAACTCTCAGCAAAGAAGGCATCGAAGGAACTTTCCTCAATATAGTCAAAGCCCACAAGCCCACAGCAAGAATCATTCTCAATGGGGAAAAACTAAAAGCCTTCCCTCTAAGATCAGGGATAAGACAAGTTTGCCCACTTTTCCCACTACTATTCAGTATAGTACTGGAAGTCCTGGCCATTGCAGTTAGGCAAGATAAAGGTATCAAGAGTATACAGACAGGAAAGGAAGAAGTCAAGCTATCACTATTTGCAGACGATATGATACTATACTTAGAAAATCCTAAGGACATTCTCTTTTTGAGCATAACTGCTTCTAGTGAAGTGTGGCTCATTCATCTGTGGTTCTGTGGTATTAGATAAATCATTTATCTAGTCATTTCAGGATTTCTAGGTTCCTTAGCACAGCGGGTAGGGCGTTCGCCTTACACGCGGCCAACATGGCCGACCCGAGTTCGATTCCTCCGCCCCTCTCGGAGAGCCTGGCAAGCTACCGAGAGTATTCGATATGCCAGACACAGTAACAACAAAGTCTCCAATGGAGATGTTACTGGGCCCGCTCGAGCAAATCGACGATCAACGGGAGGGCCTTTACCTTTACCTTACCTTTCTTATTCTCAAAATGTGTACCTTTAAGAACGTTTTCCTCTCCAAATCTCAGATCTTTTTATAATTCCTATTCACTCCTGCCATTCTTTCAACCTTTCAACACATATTGTAACCTTCCCTGGTTACAATATGTGTTCTGTATGTGTTTGTATGTTTGTATGTGTCTACATTTGATGATTGAACAGTAACAATCCCTGGCAAGCTTTGTGAGGAATACCTGACCTTTTGGGAGGGGAGAAAAACCTCTGAAAGTATTTCTCTAAAGCCTCGCCTGATCTCTTTTGGTGTTTTGAGGGGGAAGAGATCTGGCCAGGAAAATGGAGACTGTCATAGATCTGAGCTAACAGGCTATATTTTCCCAGGATCTTTGAAATATTTTGATAAAGTAAGATGAACTTAGAGATCACATTTTATTTGAAAGCATTTATTTCTGTCACCTATAGAATTCCTTAGCTTCAAAATTTATTTAAATCTCATAACTTACTCTTCACTCCACAACACATTTTCTAAACATTCTTCTGCTATTCTCCTAACACTGCACCCATCTGGGCAATAGACAGTGGAGTCTCTCCCATCAAGTGTGCAAAGAGTAGAAAAAGAAGAAAAGCTCTAAAGGAAATATTTCAATTTCACCAGGACCCTTTTAATTTTATTTTTTTCTGGTAGCTGGGCTTCCTCTGACCTCTACAATGTTGGTGAATTTTGGCATTAACCCGTACTGAACACTTGGGTTGCATGGAAAAAAAAATTAATCTCCCTGACCTAGTCGCCAGATGCACCAGTTCCCATAATAATAAATGCCACATCACCAGGCATGGTAGAAGTAATTTGATGAGTTCATGAAGTACGTTAGAGTGGGTAGAAGTGGAGTTTAAGCCCATGTCATGCTATTAAGGGAGAGAGAGAGAAAAAGAGAGAGCAAGATTCATTCTACATCTCACAAACTAA